CCAGTGTGGAAAATTTGATACCTGACTCCTCCACACAGATAACAACATTTTAAAGAATGGCTCAGTACATGTGACACTCAAAAGAAATGTCACTAAGGTCACACAAAGCTACTTTTTAAAATCTATGTATTTTCTAGGTTTTTTTTTTATATAAAACCAGTGTTTTGATAATATTAAATTCTTCTCACTGTTGAATCATCTCTCTTATTTTCCTTGATGTCACATTCTCATATTTGTCCTTGCTTAGTTGACAACTCTTTCTTAATCAGTCTGTTCCATTTCCTCTGGCCAAAGAATAAAAGTTGGAATGACTTAACACTCAACCTTGAGAACTCTTTTATGTGACTTCAACTGAGTGAAAAAGTCTTCACACACACACACACACACACACACACACACAACTAGAACGTAAGCATGCTAAAATATTGTATAAAATTACTTTCATACTATGTATGTAAATTACATATGAAAGAATAAACTTTGGATTTACATTTTAGTTCAGTTCCCAAGACACTTCATTATATACTCAGGTAATGCCTTTGAAACAGGCAACAAAATCAACTCACTGATGAGGGAACCTAAAATACATTAATATTCTTAAACTTTCATTAAAGAACTCTACTGAATTGCTTATATAGGTTATATCGGTATCACCTCTGTGCCCTGCTATGCTATGGAATCTCTAAAGTGCTTCTTCTGAATCCTTATCTCCAACAACTAGGTAAAAGTCTGGTGCATTTTAAACACTACCATACTATTTTTATTCGGTGATTATAAGAATGAGCACAGTTGGAGACATATACTCCATTATCTCTTGCTCTGGAGAGGAAGCAGAGGGTGATAAACGTTAGTCATGGAGTCTGTACATCATTATGGGTAGATGCAGATTGCATTATATTCTCAAATATACTTGCAGTCTCAAAGAGGGTGCATCAGAGAAACCCCATTCCAAGTGTCCCAACTCACTAGGAAAATGTATAACGAACTGAGCTGTGTCCTTTTGACTCCCATCTCTCAAGGGAGATTATCTACCCTCCTTAGCAGATGTGTATACTCCTCCTTACTGCTTGCCGGACTTCCTTCCAATCTTCCTTTGACAGTATTCACTAACAAGTAGTAAGACCTTTTGATTCTTAAGTCATCAATCTAACTCCTTAAAAATGAAGCTACAAAATGTAGCCTTGCCAAGTCACATAGTTCATCTAATTCCATTTATTTACTAGAGACCTAGACATGTTGGTTTTCTCCAAGGTGACTAACAAAGATGGAGACTGTTTTGTCTCACTTCTTTCTGTAAGTTCTCAAGCAACTGTAAAGCCTGTTTGACTGCTAGAGGACTGTTCAATACACTGAAGGATTGCAAACTGTAGATGTTAATACAATGCAGATTTCCTCTGGATTCATTTGTAATGGCCAAGGTAGACGTGAGAAGAACCAGAGCAAATGTTAGGTATGCCTAGAGGGGCTCAGGACTCACCAGAGCTTTTGTAATGAATTTTAGTACTTAGTGCTTGACACCTAGTTCAGACCTGAAAGTTGGAAAGAATGCAGGTCTGGGACTCTAGTGTGTTAGGTTTTCATCTGCGCTCTGCAAGCAATGACAGCTTATAAACATGAGCCAATAGTTTAGGATTCTAGATCTCAGTATGTACCTCTGAAAAATACACATACTTCTAGTTTCATGTGGTATTGAAAACATAAGAACTCAGCAACATATATTTTACAGGACATTAAACTACTGTGAGTGTCTCTTTAGTCACAGCCACCATGACTGTCACTTGTTGTGGTAAGAATGAGTCAATCAGGAAGATATTTTCTCAGTTTCCTCATAGCTTTCCTCTTCCTGTTGATTTTGGACAGAGCAACAGTCCTTAGGCTTGTGGAAACCTTTGACCTAAGATTCAGCTTTAAGGATGAGGACGTGACATACCTGGCTGTGGAAGTCACTTTTCTCCTGTCACATGTCTCAAACTGTTCTGTGAAATCAGAGTCTCTCTCAGAAATTAAATTCCTTTACATTAGGAGATATCCTTCTCGGGAATATAAAACACTCAAGTGTTCTTCAATGAGGAGTCAGACTCTCTGACAGCCTGGCTTGATGCTCTGAAGCTTGTTGCTATCCCTCTTATTTGGCTTTCTTCCCTTAGTCAATGGTCACAGCAGCCTTCAAGATGCACCCCATTTGGCACGAAAAGAGAACAGAAATGAACACACTCAGTGGTGTATCTCTATCCTGTGCCTAAGGGATGCTACACCACAGATAAAGAAGTGGTCTCTTACGTTCCAGTTCCACCCCAACCTGAAAGTTGCTCTGAGGGTCCTGACTGTTGGAATGAGCTTCCCTTGGCTGAGAAGCTCACTCCCTAAGAACCACTGCACAGTGATGCCTGACGAGTGTAACTCCTTCTATGCAAACAGGTACCCTCTTTAACCCCAAGGAGAGAGCTGACGGGAAGAAGACTAACTTTCAGTCCCGCAAGGCCATTCCCTACTGCTGCTTTCTGACTCAGGCTAACACACAAGGTTAAAGTAGTCTGTCAAGGCTGTCAGTGGGATCTGGCTAGGTCTGATGTGTATGGCCTCTGTGCAAGAAGCTGACAATCTTTTCATACACTCGACCCTTCCCATCTAACCTGCGTCACACATCCGGACCCAGCACTGATCTTTCTTCCTGAATTAGTCTTTGAGGCTCAGAGAGTTTAAGAAAACGAGAAATAAAGTTCTGATCTCGGATTTTTCCAAGTCTATCTCCCAAACACAGCATCCAACTTCCAAAAACGAAAAAAAAAAAAAAAACCCTTCCCCAAATTCACAAGACTTTTTTTTTGTTGTTGTTGTTTTTTAATAACCAGGAGCATGTCTACTCGTTCAAATTAAGGAAACTAAATGACAGTCATAAGCATTGAAGTAAAATGCTCTGTCTTTGAAACCTATCGTAGTCCGGTTTGGAGAAATATGTAAATTTGTCCATAAATATGTAAATTTGGAGCTAGCTTTTCTTCTGAACATGACCCTGGTGAAATATCTCTAAAATTCCCCTTCTCTGATACTGCATGGAATGTACTAGGAGGGTGTAATCCTGTTCTCCCTAGAATGTGGGAGGGAGTTGATTGACTTCTAGAACCTGCTGGCTCTCTCAGTGATTTATACACTGAGCTGGCTCTGGCTCATGGATCGTAGTCACCCCTTCCTAACTCTTCATTAGGTGAGGTTTCAGGCCTGGCTGGAAATGGGCCACCTTTAATGTATAGCACGTGTAAATCAGTGAGGCAACTGCCCTGCCCCCATTCTTTCTTCTAATCTCTCTCCCACCCAGTTGGTAGAAAAGCTCGGGTTGCTCTGACTGTACCTTATCATTGCTATCTAGTCACCTAGCAGGAGTCTGAGACCAGGCTAGTCTCCAACGGCATCTGACTCCACCCTTTGCCCTGAAAACAGGACAAGTTGTAATGTACAAAATATCCCAGAGTACTAACCTCCTGTGAACCAGTATGCTGCACTCTTCAGACTCTTCCAGAAACTTGAAAAGAGAGCTTTAAACTCCTAGCATTTTCAGGAAAAATCAGGGATAGTTATTCAATGAAGAATGTCGGGAAAACAAGAGGAAACAGGGCAGAAGGGAAGACACATTTAGCAAGAGATACCTTTAAAAGTTCCCCTCGATTGTCCCTAAAAATCTCCTGTAAAATTTCAGTGTTGATTTTGATGTCATATATACAAAAGGCTGGCCATAATCTAATCTATATCAGAATAGTGGGCTTTATTAGCTGTGCTGATTAGGATATTCGGGAAGGGGTTGACCAAAGCTTCAAACTTTGCCAGGCAGATCCCTTTGGACTTCTATGTTCCATATGCAAAGGTCATCATTGCAGCCAGGATGTAAAATCATGTAATGACCATCCCAAACAATCCTATGGCAGTTTCTAATACTGCTTTATGCAAGAATAGTGAAAGTCACATTCCACACCTTCATTCATATGTACAAGCTAAACACTTTGTGGTATTTGTATGTTGGATTTAAAATTTGAACTACTGACAACAGAACATATTACCAAAAAAGTAACTCAGAAAATCAAGCAGTCAGGTGACACAGGCTTCTAGTCTCAGCATTTAGGAGGTGGTAGAGTAAGGGGGAGGAGACATTTGTTACAGAGCCAATTGGAAATCAGCCTGGCCTACATTAGATCTTGTTTCCAAAAGCAAAAAATAAAAGTAAATAAATAAAATTAAATTTAAAAAAAATCAGAAGAACAAAAGGATAAACCTAAAGAGTACTTTATTTAAAATCTCATGCATATGAAACTTAAGAATGGCCAGAAACATATGTATTGGCACAGAAACCAGCTGCCCTGCCTTGATGCAGGCTTGTGTCTCAAAGGGAGCTTCCAAAGAAAAGAACTTTTTGGAATGATGATAGCTCTCTAGTTCTTCAGCAAGGAGGAGGAGGTGGAGGCAGGAGGATAAAATTTCAAGGTAATCCTTGACTATATAGTGAATTCAAAGCCAGCCTAGGATCCATTGGACTGTCTCAAAAGAAAAATAGAAAAGAAAAGAAAAACGAAAAGAAACAACTGTGTTGTAATTCTTGATTAGGGTGCAGCCTTCTTACAGGGAGATTCCACCAGCTCTACCTTAAAACGTCTACTGAGTGGAATCCTTTTGGAGTAGATTTCTGATTTCAGAGGTCATAGTGATGAGCAAGGGTCCATAAGAACAATGGATCTGTCTTTCTCCGATCTCTCTCATATTTCTGCTCCGGGTTTCAGGTTTCTTTGCGGTAAAGGTGCAAATTGGAGCCTTGAGCAATCCTCCGTGGGTCATTTCCCTCTGGCTAGTCCATTTCCCAGTACTGACACACACGCGCTCCACAGGCATCACTCCTTGGCTGCGGGCAAAACTTTGGGAACCAGGCTCAACTTCTCAACTCTCGGGAAATTCCTCTTGGGACACTTTGGGCGTGGGGGCGGGACGGGCCTCTGGCGTGAATCAGCCACGTCTTGTGCTCCGCCCTGTCGGGGGTCCAGGAGTAGCTTAAAGGCTGCTCTCCTGCAAGCAAGCGAGCTCCCTCCCGGCGTCCAGAGAGCCACAGCACCACCCTGCACTATGGACCCCGCTACGCCCCTGCGACTGTGGAATCTGCCGCTGCTCCTGGTGGGCTCTGCCCTTAGTCTCGCTTCAGTATCTGCCCAAGGTATCCTCCCAGGATCCCTCTTGTCATTTTTTTGTTGCCTCCCAGGCACCCGTTTCCTTGCTAGGCTGTCTTTAGGTCCTTGCCTCTGCTGAGGGGAAGTCGCGCCCTAGAAGTTCAGAAACTTCTGTGGTGAGCTTTGGGGGTCAGATCTTCCGGTCCCTGCCAGGCACCAAATCTGACAGTCTCCCTTGTTTCTTTCCTTCTGACCCTCTTACAGGGAATGACTTAGAGACCTGCCTCTTGCCCTTGGACAAGGGACCATGTCAGGCCGTTGTCCCCAGGTTCTACTATGACAGGAACCAGCAGAAGTGCCGCAGATTCAAGTATGGAGGCTGCCTGGGCAATGCCAACAATTTCCACAGTCGGGAACTCTGCAAACACACTTGTGGAAATATCGAGAGTAAGTGTTCCTGGGGGTGCACAGAACTTGGTCAGCGTCTGCACCAAGGGGCGTGTCAGTTTGTGTCCACCTCCCACGTTGTTGCTTCGAAGTTTCTCCCAAGAAACTCCAAAATTTTCAACCACTAAACAGAGTTCATCTCACTAGATTAAATTGTAACTCAGTGCCTGCGTATACTGTGGGAAAGACACAAGAAGCCCATCTCGGGCCATAATAAACGCAAGGGAGAGAGAAGACTCAAGTTCTCTTCTGTATCTGTCATTAGTTCCAGAAATACCTCCTGTCAATTACCCATCCATAGGGAATATTGTTTATCGGTTCTTATTTTTTTTGAAGTGTGATTTAGCTCATTATCCAACTTTACTTTTGTTACCTGACACGTGGGTTAGTGTAGATGAATAGATACCCAAGCTTCACAAGAGTCTGTTTTCTTTTACTTCGTCATTTTGTACTTATATCTATTACGGATGATACGGGGCTTTGGCTACCAAAGAACTCAGCTAGGAAGAAATGGGTATTGGTGGGAATAACTTTTCACACAGAAACAATCAGAGAGCAGCCTTTCTATGGATCTTGAAAGCTCTATCACAGCCAAGTCAAACATGCTCAGTTTATCATAATCTTACCTTCAGATGAGTGGTCAGACTTTTGGAGTTCACTATTCCAGTATGAAATGAGGTTATCATCCCCCCAATAGTTTCAGAAATTATAGGACTGTACTAAGAAGGCTGCTTTGATTTTTATTAGCATCTTATTAGTTTCTTGGGTTAGAATACCAAACACATACCACTGCGCGTTCTTGCCTTCCCTCTGCGCCTTCCTCATCCTCTGTCCCTTTTTGCTGGTCCTTATCCCCAGGTAGTCACACCATCAGCTCTCATATCGCATGCGCGTTGTGCGCTCTCTTTTCCTCTCTCCCCACGTCTATTTCCTCCCTCGCCTCACCCGTCCACCTTTCTACTTCCATCACACATACACATCAAACTAGATTGTTTACGTGAGAGGAAATATGTGCTGTTTGTCCTTCTGAGTGCTCCGTGTTTTGTTTTTCATGACACTCTCCAGTTTCATGCATTTTCCTAGAACCATCGAGACTTCATCTTTACCGTCACCTGAAAAACATTCTTGGTACATTCAGCCACGTTATTTTAAAATCCATCTGTTATTGGACAACTAGGATGTCTCCGTTCTTCAGCTGTCGTTTACAGGGAGAAAGAAACACATGCAGATATTTCTGTGATGTGTACGCTCAGGGCTCTTTAGCTACATTCTTGACTTGGATAGCACTGAGTCATGTGATAGAACCATTCTACTTCTGGAAGACCTTCCCTGATGACTACCATAGTAGCAACATCCATTTACACCTACTTACTCATATCAAAGTGTGAATTAGGGTCTGTTCTTCTTGCCCCAACTCCTCACTGCAATTGTTTCTGTCCTTCATAATAGCCAAAGAAAATTACTTTGAATAACATATTTTATTGCTTTTCCCCTACCGCAGAAGTTCCTCCAGTTTGTCGATTACAACTCAGAACGTATCCATGTGATAAGCCCAATATACAGTTTTTCTTCAATATGAATACCATGAGGTGTGAGCCCCTTAGGCCTGGCCTGTGTAGCAGGACTATGAACATATTCTCAGAGGAAGCTACGTGTAAGGACTTATGTGAACCAAGGAGAATTAGTAAGTACTTTAATTGTGGTACTTCTATTTCAGGTTTTTGTTTAAAATTTTTACATGAATATCAATAATTTGATTTCAAATTAATATTGTTTGTATGCTGGTGGTTACACAATTATGTGATGTCATGCGTGCCTGCATGACAGCATCTCTCTCTCTCTTTCTCTCTCTCTCTCTCTCTCTCTCTCTCTCTCTTTCTGTCTCGTGTGTGTGTGTGTGTGTGTGTGTGTGTGTGTGTTGACTTTAACAACTTCTACCCTACAGGAAGCATTATGTCCTTATTTTTCCATGTGTGGGTACAAGCTGAAGGTTAATGATGTGCAAAATTCTCAAGGGTGGACTGTGACAAAGCTATTAACAAAAAGTTGCTACTTTTTCTCTTGTTCCTGGAGAACATCTCTAATTAGAAACTCTGTAATATGAAAACTCGAAATCAGAAACTTCCAAGCACTGTCTTTGCTTCCCAAATGGAAGTCGCCACACTTGACCTCAGGTGACGAATAACAGTAAAAAAGCAGGCGCGCTAATATTGTTGCATTACATTATCTTCAAACCCTGCGTAGAAGGTAGATATGAAGCACTATGAACTTCTTACTTAGAATTGCATCCCAGCACCAACCCCATCTGCAAGATACCTCATTACACATCTGCAGATTTGGAAAACCCTGGAATGCGAAAACACTTTTGGTCCCAAGTACTGGTTAGATCAGTGATATTCATATTGCATTATCCATGTCTTCAATTTACACATAAAATATAGAGGAAGGGATCTAATGGATATGGAGGGATGTAATGCTTTTTCTCATATTTTCGTGTGTGTGTGTGTGTGTGTGTGTGTGTGTGTGTGTGTGTGTGTGTGAAACAGGGGGCAGGGACTCTTGAGAAAAGTAAATGTACAAGTAGCTTTGAGAATCAGAGGTGGGGAATGTAATGGGGGAGAGGTCACACACAATGATAAATGAAGACGTCATAATGGAATCCATTTTCAAGTAATTGATATAATGAACCCATTTCCATACCAATTAAAGTAACTGATAAAAATATAGCATACATCAATAAATGCCGAGACTTCAGATATGTGTGAAAGTGGTTTTGTTTAAGAGTTATTAGAATACGTGGGGTTAAGACCTTGGGTAAATTTCTGTATTTTTTTGGTAATTATATCACAAAAAGTATTCTGTCCATCTCTCTTTTCGCCATCTCTTCAGCCGTTTCCACCAGATATAGCAGAGACACACAGATTTAAAAAAAAAAACAAATCGTGGCCTCTTCTTTGGCAGAGTTTGCTAGCGTTGTGTTGCTGTACTGTGTTGAGTATACATGATCAAGTTCTGAACGTATGTAAATGTTTCAGGTGATGGTACTAGCCTAAGAATGTCAAACCATGTCATGAACTGTCCTTTGAAACTTAAGGTCATTTTAGTATGTCTAATTGGCGTTTTGATTTCTTTTTACATAGAAAAGTGTGTGACTACGAAGGTTTAGAAGGCATTATTTTAGTTTATAAAATTGAGAAGGAGGGGTATGGGAGGTGTTGACTGGAGAGGAGAATGATGTAAGCATAGAACATAGGTCATGCATTCACATACATACATGCATATACACACATGCTTGTGCACACACACATATACATGCATGTACACACATATGCATATATATGTATATATATATAGTTTAAATTCTTAATTTCATAAAAAATAGAACAACCAAAATAGAGCAAGTAAGCTTCCCTGTGACCTAAGACAGACCTGTTTTAAATGGTCCAGTAGTTTGGATTCAGAATGAGGTCTCTGTGGGATTTTCTCCAGCTAGATTCCAGGGAGCATCACAGTCTCTTAGTCTGGTATTACAGTATTTCTAATTCCTTTTTCTTTTTCATAAAGTTCCATCATTTTGCTCCACTCCAAAAGATGAAGGCCTGTGTTCTGCCAATGTGACCCGCTATTATTTTAATTCAAGAAACAAAACCTGTGAGACCTTCACCTATACTGGCTGTGGTGGGAATGAAAATAACTTTTATTACCTGGATGCTTGCAACCGTGCCTGCATTAAAGGTAGTAAAGCTTTTCTTATTCAGTCATCAAGCAAAGAAAATGAATATAATTCCAAAGGCAAATACTATTTTGTTTATCCATTTTATTAGTGCCAAATGGCCACTCCTATGATAATCCTACAAATGTAGCACCTTGGCGTGTGATGCCTGGGTTTCTCAGACAGCAGGCATATACTGTCTAGCTGTAGGAGACAGTGGTCACAGCTTCAATTTCACATGCAGAACTGAGAGCCTAATCACTTTATAATCAAGTTAGACGAAATGAGGTAAGATCAGAAGTATGCTAGGAAAGTTGATTTAAAGTGCACATCAGACTGAAGCCATTATGATAATTGTTCTTTTGTTGTCTTTAGGCTGGAAGAAGCCCAAGAGAAAGAAGATAGGTGGTTTCCTGCCCAAATTTTGGAAGCTTCATCCTTAAGCATTTTCTCATACTTAAGGAAACAAATCATTAGGAAATTTGCTCCTCTGACTTTACTGATGTGCTACTTTTTTTTTAACACCTGTATATTTTTATTCATACCAAGCTGCTTTCCAAATGTGAAACTATCATTTTTCAATGTACTGTTCAAATGTTTAAGAGACTGAATCGTTGCAGTGTATCAGATATGAATGTGAACATGACTCACCCAACTTCATGGGATAGCTAGTACTAACTTCAGAAGACAATGGTTACTAAAATAACAGAAGACAATCTAAGTGTGCAGTTTTAACCTATATGAGCATCAACAGGAATGGCAGAACTGTTTCATTATGAACTTAAAGTTTGGATTAAATTTTAGGCTATAGGAGACAAGTAGCTGGTTTATGAACACTTTATCCAATCATTCCACTGGGGTATTACTTATACCTTGGCCAAGTGCCCTTCCATACCTTTCTTGCCAGATTATAATATTATGAAGAAGGTGAGTTATTTCAAAGGTATAATTATTATTGGATGGATTTAAACTATTGGTGATTTATGAAAAGAAGGACATTTTTCCTAGGAAAAAACCATTATATATTCAATTCTGTGTTGAAATCTTCTTTGACCCTATGTGTTGCATTATTCCCTCCGACAAAATGTTTTGGAGAACAGAAACTACTGGATCTTTTGTACTATGTAAGAAAGGCATGAAGGATTTGTCTTGAATTTCACCAATAAACTCTTTTTAAAAGTGGTTATTGCAATAAGATAGTGTTTTTTCCCTCTGTGCAAGGAAAATGAAGAAAAGAACTATACATATCATTTTAGTAAATTCAACATTTAAATGTAACTCTTTAACAAAATTACAAGTGCATCCACTCTTTGCCTGAGAAGACACTCATCTGAAAACCTAGCACGGTTATTTCAAAAACATGGGTATGCCTGAGGACATTGACTGATGCAGAAAACTGGAAACAAACCGGATGTGGGAATGAGAGCAGCCAAGGAAGTGACACGTGGGCGTGAGCAGAGTGTTTGTGTGCGTATAATCAGACCCAGGAAGACAGTGAGGAAACGACTAGAGCAACAAGAATAAACACACACACACTCTCAGACGTTATGGATGACCTTGACATATTTCATTGACATAAACTTGGAACGGGTTGGAGGCAACGAAGAGTTAAGGGATATGCAACAAGTTTTGTAAAGAACTCTAGATCTTGAAGATGTTATTATGTTTTACATAAGTTTAAACAGGTCAAAGGGAAAAAATTAGGTACTTTTAAAACACTGAACCAAATGGTGCTCGAGATTCAAGGAGCTGTTGAATAGTAGAATATGTACACAAATATAGAGTCTTAACTTCAGTGGCTTTCAGAGCTAGTGTGTGACCATAAATCTTCAGCAACATACAACCTAAGAGTCTAGAAATTCTAAAGAAATCAGAGAAAGTATTAAAAGGTACTCTAACTGTAATTGATCATTGCTCAGTCACTGTTACTATTCGGAACCTATAATGTACAGGATATTTTATGGTACCATATAGTCAATAAAATTGGAGACATCTCTGGAGTCAAGGATTTTAGTTCCAAGAGAAATAATAGGTAGAAGCATACATTTATTTTGAAGAAAAAAAAAACCCCACAGAAATCTTTAAAACCTTAAGCTTGAACTAGAAATATTAGTATGAGCACAGACCATGTGTTTCTCAGGATATATGTTATTCCCTTCTTCCACTAAAACTCCTTAAAGCCATGACAGCTGCCTTCCACTAAGTACAACTGATCTTTGCTCATGTTCTCCTAATCATGCATGTTATTAACAAGAATCAGCTCCCTTACAAGTCCCAAAGCCCAAGTCTGACACAAGAATGATTCAGAGGAACCTGGGCTGCATTATACTAAAATTCAAGAAGCAATCAAAGGCTGATGAATCATGTTAGATAGACAGGGGAGTAGCATTAAGTAGCTCACACTGACGTAAAAGGAGATTATGTAAGCATCAAAGTAAATGAGGATCTCGGTACATAGAAATATATAAATGTATTGGACCTGTATACCTATCATACACATACACACATATACACACGCTCACATACACAATACACACACATACACACATACACACACATACACACACTCACACACACAATACACACACACATATACACACACTCACATACATAATACACACACACTCACATACATAATACACACACACATACACACATATACACACACTCACATACACAATACACACACACATACACACATATACACACACTCACATACACAACACACACACACACACACACACACACACACACAGTGAGGCCTTTAGTCAAGATTGCAACCAAATTTCCATATTGGAAGGAAATATGATGAGCAAGTCACCAGGAGCCAGAGAAAGTGTTCAACCAAATCCAGTGTTTCATGAAATGCTCTGGTTTCATCCGTTGATCACATTTTTTTTTCAGAGCTAGGAAATACAATCTGTGCCTTAGCAACAAGAAAAAGTAGCATGCTATTAAAAAGTTTTGTTTGAATAAAAAGCCCGTGTTTGGAACTCCTCAGTGGCTATAGACAGTGAAGATAAACAGAGGAGTTATTTGTGCTTTGGGATTGTAGACTGAGTAATGCAGAGTCTTTAGGAATTCTGGAAGCTCCTAGATTCTCCATAGGAAAATTAATACATTTGTGGTCATTGTTACCTGTGGTGATTTGAATATGTTTGACACAGGGAGTGGAACTATATGGAGGTGTGCCCTGTTGGAGTGGGTGTGGCCTTGTAGAAGAAGTGTGTAACTGTAGGAGGGGCTTTGTGAGCTTCCTCCTAGCTACATGAGGATGCCAGTCTTCTCCTGGCAGACTTCGGATGAAGATGTAGAACTCTCAGCTCCTCCAGCTCCATATGTACCTAGACACTGCCATGCTCCCACCTTGATGATAATGGACTGAACCTCTGACCTGTAAATCAGCCCTAATTAAATGTTGCCCTTATAAGAGTTGCCTTGGTCATGGTGTCTCTTCACAGCAATGAAAACCCTAACTAAGACATCCCCCTATAGGCGAAGTCCTAAGGAGATCATGGGCCCAACTCAGCCTATGTACACACATCTGTTTAGCATTGGTCAGAAGTAGAACTTCCATATACAGCCATTCAAAAAGCTCAGTCACCTGTCATTTCATTAAAAACATGTCAAGCACAACCACTGTTTGCCAATTAAACACTAAGAGTAAAGTAATTTTAAATTTGAAAACAAGAAATAAATAGTTAAATTAGTCATGGAACATCTTCCAGACAAAGGGAAACTCCTTCTTACCACTGTCAGCCTGAGAAAAATTCCCTGTTAGTGTTTTCAGCAGACAGATAGAATAGATGACTATCTCCTTCTGTAAAACACACACACACACACACACACACACACAGGCATATATAAACACAAAACATACATGCACGCATATGCACTTAGGCACACATACACAGAAGGTTAAGGTGTTTATTTAAAGTATTCTGTGATAGGGCTCCTATCCCCTTTATTGCAAGCATTATAAGAACCATGGAAACTGAAACAGGGTTTCACATTCCCTGTGCTGTGTTATTTCCAGGTATCCATCTCGCCTCCAAGCCTTGTAGCCCATTAGCTAAGGATCTTATCCAGTAAGGGACTCGGGCTGTAAAAATCCCTGAGATGGTGCAACAGGGTTGCACTATAGAATGACACTGAAAAGTAGATATAAAACAAAATTACCTGAATGGTGTCTGTTAATCCTCTTTCTACCAGGTGAACTCTGTTATAGTGACAAGACTTGACCTTTACAAGCACCTGCTTCTTTGAAAATGTGTCTTTTGAAATAAAAATGAGAAAACATACAAAAGTGCCAACTTCTACAGTATCTATGTATTAGGATATGCTAGTATACATGGAGAGAAGCAGACACGAGAGTCAGAATCACTCAGAAAAACTCGTGTCCCTTCAGTGTCATAGTAACTCAAAACTGTTTACCAAGTATATACATGTAAGCTTTTATGACCATTCTCTATGTTAGGAAAATCAAAACAATCTTGCTCCCTTCCTGCTGAGGCCTGCCCCAAATCCAGTTATCCACTGTAATGCCATGGTGCTTCGACAGGCAAAACATCTGAGCAGATTATTAATTGTCAAACCTCTGTAATGTTTTTCTGTTATATTAAATCATTGTATATGTGTGTATGCATGTATGTGTTTTACATATAAGTTCATGTGAGTATTTACCTGCGTTCCTGCAAGTGTACTGTAGAACAGGGGTTGACATTACTTATCTTTCTTGACCACTCTCCACCTTACTTTTTTGAAAGAGAATGTTTTAGTGAGGTGCATCATGGGATAGGCTGGTTGGCCAATGAGCTCCAGAGATCAACTTGTCTCTGCACGCACACACACACACACACACACACACACACACACACACACACGTTCTGTTTTTACCCATGTGTGCTACTTCACACAGCTTTAGTGTGTGGGCTGGGGACTTGAATTCAAGTCTTTATGATTGCCCAGTCAACCTGTGATCAGCCAGCCCCAGCCTCATGTCCTTCTTAAATCTTTATGCTAGTGTCCATGTCATTACTGTGTTGCTTATGAATAGAGTCTTGTATCCTAAACACATTCTTCTCAATTCTGGCCTCACCTCCAACTATAGTTCAGAAGCACTGGATTATCTGAAATTTGAAAGCATGCCCTAGAGCTTAGGCTTTACAGGATGTGGTTCTCAAATTTTATATGTAGTTATGTGCTGCATATCCAGGGGTTTTGATCTACGGGGGTTGCAATGGCATTTACAGATGGACCTTAATCCTGACTGTTATTTGATGGTGCCAATAAAGATTCACATGGTGATCAAAGGCTCTGAAAGGTTAGGAAGGATATTGGAAAAACTTAGAGAAATACTTTTTATGATCTACAACACATCTTAATCTTTCAAGAGTTATCCTCTCTTCATGTAAGCATCTCATAAACTGACTCTTCTCTGACTTGCCAAAAAGGTCCTAGACTTCTTCAAGCAGACTTAATCATCTGTCCCAAGAACTTGGCTAACAGGACAAATTTCTAGTTACACTAATACTCCTTTGAATTATTTTCCTAACAATTCTACTAAGGAATATGTTTTACATAGGAAATTAATAGATTTTTTTAAGTTTTCAAATGTATTATCATATTTCTGGCGTAGTTTGTAGAAAATAAAGGACAAAAATAAAAATGAAGCATTACAGAATCACCCCAAGTGACTAAGATGCACATTCTGTTTTCCTGAGGTAGAAATCACTGGGTGAAGGAGCTACTTGACTTTGTCCAGGTGTACTCATAAATTATGTTGGTTTCTTTCCAAGTACAGTTGTTCAAATATGAAAAATACTGTGGGTATAGGAAAAATACATCACTCCTCTGTGGTAAAATGACTTTTGAATCTGCGTTTTAATTTCTGTTTCCAAAATCATTACAGAGTTCAAACTTGTTTTGTATAAATTTAATATTTACAGCCTTTATATAGATATTCTTAAATGATTACCATAGATAATCAACTTACCATGGCTGTCATCTTCCATTGTTAACTTTATTCTGGTGAAAACACCCAAAATAAGTTGTCTTAACCTATTTTTAATGCACAATATTGCAAACAGTAATCTTTTTGTCATATATTAGATCCCTCCTGGGCTTGTTTACCCCATCTAACTGCAAGTAAGCACTCTCTGTTTAATGTCTTTCCATTTCCTTT